AGCACATAGGACACAATCATACTTTGTTCTACCTAGCAATTGTAATTTTTAATTCATGTTGAGGGTATCAACATGTCATCAATACACAATACCCCCGGCATAACACAGAAAACACACCTGCAGATTCATTCTAGTCTGAGTAAGTCTGACAGAATGAAGTTATTCTTTTTTGGGAACACACTTGATCGACTCCATTAATAACTTCTGATTTTACAGTGTTCCATTGTAGACAGACTGCCATGATGAATTTGGAAGTGCAACCTTATTTTCCAGAATAGGATGCACTTTCTACACTACTCCCTTATTTTTCTCATTTCATTGATAAAAAGCTTTGACAGAAAAGCCAAAATCTTAGCATGCCCCCCCCCCAAAAAAAAAAAAAAAAAAAAAAATCAAGAGTAGCAATACATATTCTTGCTTCTTGTAGCATAAGAAAGGTCTCTGGTAAGGTCAAAGGCAACCATCACATACCATCAAATGCCTGTTACAAAGTAGCCCTACTCTAAGTCAGTCTCGTTGAAAAAATTAGTGACTATGAAGAAACACACAAAAATTACCAGGTATCTTTCAGTCTTTTACAAAAACCTCCTGAAGAGTTAACATGAGGTAACATGCTGAGTAAAAAGAAGTAATTCTTTTTATAAAATGTCTTTTAATTATCAAAGTGCAGGGAGAGCTCTTTTGAGGACCACAACAGTCCCAGTTCTGAAATAATTATATCATTAACTCACATGAGTAACCCATTTGAAATAAATGCAATTTCCTGTACATTAAAACCTCAACATAAGCCAGCATTTATATTTGAAGCCCACCATTGTGGCTTTCTAGAATATTTTAGGAGCACTTCATAAATTATAAAGGGGACAGAACAACTGACTGGCAAAATCCTGAAGTACTGGTTACAGTCTTTCACCCATAGCACAACTAAGCTGTGGTGTCAGAAAGTAAGGTCCTGTGTCTTCCAGATACAAAAGATTCCTCCTACTCCTTTTTACAATATTCCTTTTCCAATTACAGTCTTGGCATACAAAGAGAAGTCAAAATCAAAATCCTCACTCTTTCAGTATTTTTTTTTGTTTGCTTGCTTAATTTTGGTTTACTAAATAAGACTAAATTTCTCAATTTCTATTGCATAAGTGATGTTTGATAATAGTTTCTTTAGTACCTTTTTTAAAACTCCAAGTATACCTAGTTCTAGTTAGAAAAGCACTTACTGTCAAGATAAACCTGTGTATGCTTTTATTTAGTCCATATGCTGCAAGACAAAGGTCTCAACCTCACTACAGAATGTCTAGTAAAATAAACAAAAAAAAAAAAAAAAATCTGTCATTTGAACTGAACGCCTCATTCACTATGTGGTTAGTTCTGCGTACAAATAAATTACCTTTTTAAAAGGTTATGAGCTGTCTAGGCATTAGCTAGAAGTGCATTTAATATTAAAATCTTATGCCTTTGAAGAACTATCGCATGTTCTAATACACTCACTTTCTGTATATACCCAACTTGTCAAAAGCTTCATAGGTAATATCGTTTCATCCATTCTGGTTTAGAAGGGAAAAGAAAGTCTTCTCCCATCAATTGCAGTTATCTGTAGACAGCAACCTTTTCTGTTCTTTCATAGTAGCTTCTAACTCCGATTTAGCAGCAGGGTATTTTTCAGTGAAAGCAGAAGATACTTCTTTCCAACAGAGAAGCAAGAGTATACTGGAGTCAGTCGTATCACATAAATTGAATTGTTAATGTATGAAGGATATCGCTGCACATTAGAGCCCAGTATCTGTTTGGGGCAAAATCTGCTCCCACACAGAGCTGGTGCAAACCCCGTTCTACCTGCAAGTGCTATATGAGGACACAGAATTTCAATAGTAGTTTTGTGTATGGGTGGAGAGATATTAATATCCAGTTTCTCTCTGAAGAGACTATATAAAGAGATGTTTTACAGCAGTCTAAATCAGTCCTTTTTCCTGCAATAACGAGGAAAAGATTGAATAATTCTAACACACCCTTTGGAATACTATGACATAAGTCTGATAAGGTACCAAACTGAAACTACAGATTGCACTGAAAGACACTTACCTAAAGTCACGATCAATAAACACACTCCTTTAAGGCCACTGTTTTGATACTATTTTAAAAAACATGCAAAACAGGACCAGGATAAATACATACACTTTGTAAAGGACACTGGTTTATTGAACTTGATTAATTGGAATACTGCTGTTAAATAAAAATGAAACCTGAGAAAAACAGAAATAAAACTCCAGAATGGAGACACTGCTGTTGGCATAACAAAATGGGAATGTGAAGGTACACAGCCTGAACAAGTTCAATAATTAGACAGTTCTCAGGAATAAGCAGCAATGTTTCTGACAGGGATGACTCCACCCTAAAGTGCCTCTTTTAAAATAATCTGATTAACCATTTAAGTTCCAATATGGGTCACTACCAGAAATAATGAAGGACAGACTTGGACAAAGTTTGCCTGTTACTTTATGAAACAGAAGAGCTATCAAATAAAACATATATCTTGCTTTAATTTCAAGCATTGCTCAGCATCACAGGTAGACTATTCCTAGGATGCTGCAGCAAATGTTTAACTTTGACAGTTCTACAAACTTATACTGCAGAGAGTCAGAAAATCATCTCAGCGAGAAATTCCAGTGCAGACTTCTAATCAAACTGTGGAATTTAGTCTAGAAGACTTGTGGAGATCCATGCAGTTCCTAAGCAGACATTCTCCCTCACCTCTCCAGGAGAATGTTTCCTCTTTCCTCTGCCTTCTCTCTCTAGATTGGAGAAAAGAAAGAGATCCACTGTGAAGATCAGAGCAACTTAGTTATCAGGTCTCTTTTCAGACTTAGTGCAGAAGCTACTGGAAGCTTCCTTCCCTACCAGATTTCTCTCCATCCAGTAACTTCAGCATCTGTACACACTGCTAGACAGCTTTCATTTTACGTAAGATATTGAGGTACCCAAACAGAATCACAATGAAAGAAGTGATTATTGAGCTTTGTGCGTACTCTTCCCCTTAACAGCATTCTTGAGCGTCCAGACGCACAATCTACTGTAAGCTTTTGTTGAGTAAGGGAAATATCCTGGCTTGATCAGTATTGTAGGGGTTAAACTAGTTAGAAGAAGCAAACAGCTAAAGTTACATATTTGCACTGCAAATCCAGAGCACTAAGATAGCAGCTTCTGATGCAGAGGGTGAGTATCCCCAAGAAAACATATTTACCAAAAAATTTATAGCCTTACCAGCTTTTGCATGCTACTACTGCCATTTGAAGTTCTAGTTCCCATGGTACCTGCAGATCCACTGAAGCACAGTAAACAAGACATACTATTCTAGTTTACAGCACCTACAGAAAAAAACTGGAGGCAATTAGGAGTCAGAGCCAAAAGACTCAATTTGGGGCAAGGGGGGAAATCACTTTCATCGCACTTAAGAGTCTAACACTTGTGTCAAAAAACTAGGACAGAAGTCCAGAGGTCAGCTTTCTCTTTTTGGCTCTGTCATCTGCTGCCCACTTGTTTCAAGATAGCCACCTCTGTATCTCAGGTTGCCCTCTCCCATTTATTTTTAACATATAGGGAAAATAGCCACCTATCTCAAAGAGCCAAAAATTACTCAACGTTGGAAAGCACCAAGCTGCTCACAGACAACTGAAACAGGCGTTTCAAGAAAGTCGGACACAGCCTTTTTTCAAAGCAGAAGTCTCGGCTCTAAGGTTTGAAACAGTTCTTTTCCTGTTCTTTTTGCAAGTTCATATGCCACAATTCTAATGGCATGCAAAAGACCTCTTAACCTTCAGGGCAAGTGACTGTAATAGCAGATTACAGACACTGTTTCCTCAGGAATACATAAAAATGCCAAGAGTGACCTAAGCCTGTTTCTTGCTTGCTCAGGCACACCTCAACCAAAGGCCTACAAGTAAGTGGGCACATTTCTTCGCAAGTTAAGAAAGTAGTACTATCAAAAGTAGCTATGACAAAAGCAGCCTCAGAAGTAGATATACATCACAGCACAAATCCAAGGCACCAAAAACTTCAGGCCTTACTACTGGCTTCCCTGTTAGCTGTCACTTGACAAAGAAGAAATAACCCATCAAATTCAACTGGCAACTGAGGCTGCACAATCATCAGACCTTTTATTTTACTCTTTAGAGACAGACATATGAAATAGATCATGTTGTGTGGAAAGAAACAGCCAGACTTCTCAGCAATGAAACACTCTGTACCGAATAAAAAAAATATTTAAAGGAAGTCACACAATCCATCATCTGATAGGTCATGTCTAAAAACAAGAACACCAAAGCATCTTGCTTATTTTACCACAGAAAACATCTTATGTCTTAAAAGTATATACAAGTGTCCGGTAAAACAAACACCTGTCCCATGACCACAAATCTGACTTCTCATGACAATTAACTGTGAAACCTGAAAGATCCTCTTAACAAGTCTCATTTAATTTAATAAAGTTACTTTAAGGCAAGTAAGGATCCAGTCAAGATTACTAGATTTGCCTGGTTTGCATGCACATTTTCATCTTTCAGTACTCAAATATTTACACTTACATGCACATTTCTACCTCCATGCTATCTGTTTGAAACTTTCATCCTCTTCTAGGCAAAGGACAAAAAAGCTCTAGAGCTTATCTTCCTCAAACCCAAACGTACTAACCCTCTTTTCAATCAGTCAAAATTTTTCCATACTCTACTCTTAACCTGAATCTTGATAAGGCATTTAAATTCACTTATAACTACAGCCAGCCCAATAAAAGTGAACCTCCAGCACTTTCCTGTACATGAGTCACAGACGCCAATATATTCAAATCCTTTGGCAAGTTTAGGCCCTAAACTTTTAAAAACACAGAGGATTTTTACCACGGCACACAACACTGAATGTTTTATTCTGCTTCCTTCCCACTCATTTAAAACAAACAAACCCCAACGAATTTAAGGACGGGGGGAACCACAGAAATGAGAAATCCCAAAACAAACCACAAGTAGAAGTCCCTCAGGTTCGACAAGGCTGCTCATACCCCCTTCACAAGTTTAAACGCCACCATGATGATAAAACAACTATTCGGCAGGAGACCAGAGGCGCTATTTTATCCCTCCACAACGGCGAGAATGAAAAGTTTCCCCGTCCTTCCTGCCGCCGCGGCCCCCCGAAGCGGGCACCCCCGCCGAGCCCCCCG